AAATATCTCGTCCAGGCAATGTCCTTTATCTTGTAAGAAGTGAACCGGAACGTGGTCACGTCCCGGGATTGCGGCTGCCTTCATGGCCTGCAATGCTCGCGTACTTGAACAGATAGAATCCGTAGTGGACTTTTCTAGTATAGATAACCGTGTTGACAAGCAAAAGAGATTGTGTAAAACCCCTTTTTGATCGACTCCATCCTTTGTCGAAGAGATGTGCATGTTCTGGCCTCGTTTAATAGTGTTATCAACGAGATACGGTAATTGAGAAAAATTCTGCGGTGCTTCTTCAAAATTTCCTTCTGCAAAATACTCGATTGCCTGTATTTTTGAAGGTCTCCTTACAAAGCTGTTCTACTTGAGGTTACCAGTCGCACGAGAATGCAATCGGATCCAGCCTCAGTGCTTTTCTTCCTCAAGCAAATTCTTGGTAGATTCCAAAATGCGTTCCAAATTCCTTGCTTAGAGCACTTCTGCGCTTTCACCACAGGCTCTCAGTCTGCTGAGAAGCAGGTCATAGCCTTCGGATCATAGCCTTCGTTGCGTCCTCGTCGATGGGCTAGTCACAGGCGGTCAGCAGCTCTTCTGACCTGATGCCGTCATATGTAAATTCTCTCCTTCCCCCAAAGACTTTCTTAGACCTTCTCTTCCAGCTTTCGACTGAATCGCACTCTCGCTCGAAGGAGACAGTGGTCTAAATTAATGCTGAACACTGACCCAATAAGCTTGAACTTTGGTCGTTGAGAATGTGGTCGGTCTCTACGTGAGTCGCACCATCGAGCGGCTTTCCTACATCACCGGTGTTCCTTCTTCTTAGAAATGGTGATATCATGAAAAAGAGCGGCGGTTGAAATTCTAACAAGAGGTTGCCCTTCTTATTGAATTTCGACAATAATCTCCAGATTCTAAGCTCCCCTTTTTCTCGTATCTCGTTTTTCACGTTGAATTGAGCACTGAAAATTTGCAGAAGAAATTCTCTTTGCTTACTTCCTCCAAATCCTCATTGAAAGCGTTCAGCTCCAGGTCATCAGTTACATATGTTGGAGAATAACATTTCATAACAGTGATGGTTTTCCAAAGGATGAAGCTGTAGGATAGCCAAGCGACGTTAGGGGATCCCATATCGACAAGATGGACAACAGATGGATGTGCGACAAATCCAACGCCTCCAACGTTCCGTAATGGAACTTTCATCACGAATGATGACTGTGCCATCACACAGCTGCCTCAAGTCCGTTTAAATTTTCCTCCCATCGAGGCGATTACGTGGTAGTTGGTGCGCCCTGCAGCTTCGAGAAGTTTTTCAGGTCGACGTTGACGGAGACGGTTGTGGCGTTGTAGGTGCGGAGCATGAGCACGATCCAACCAATCTCTCCGAGATCTTGCAATGCATTACTCGAATGGCAGCTCTAATCTGTTATGAGGGAGTCACTGTTGAAGAAAGATAAATGTGCGGTCCTCTCCAAAACTAGGTAGCTCTTGTGTGCGATCTTAAATGACCAGAAATGATGCCATTTCCAGCTATTGCTTATTTCTCATGATTTACTCGATAATTCTCAAAACCCCTCCAGAATTGTTTCCATGATTCAAGGTGGCGCACGATATCGCGGATGGCGATGCAATTGAGCAATATTTTTCATGAGAATTGCGGAATGTAACAAAATGACTCCTCGACGCCCGCTGAGACATTCTTATCGCGGATGGCGACGAGATCGAGCATATTTTCAATGCTTGCTAGAGAAAGAAATATACTGCGGAATGCTA